ACGCGGCACGGCGCGGCGCAGCCACAGCGCCGTACGCGGGTTACTGATACCACCTCGACCACCTCGACCACCCCTCATGGCGCACTCACGGAGCCGAGTAGCAATAATGAGTTACAATGAAGTGGGTCACCCACAGATACTCGGGACGAGGTTCAACCTACGTACCAACTGGTAGGGTCCGGGGAATCCCATGAGTCCAACCACGGTTCGCGGTCCGGCTCCGATAGCGGCTTACCTCCGATATCGGGTGTTCCGGAACGTGGAGCCGTTGGCGACGACGCTACAGTTCATTCAGCTTTTTCACGAAATGGTATCCATCGTGAGCAATGCGCATCTCGTTCGGGTGCCATATTAAGCGAAAACCCCTTAGCCGACTACGTCGTAGGTGACGCAGCCGGCCTTTTTTATCAAAACAATTCTTGTACGTCGCCCGTCCACTCTCAGGATTTTCCCCGAACATACGATCACCGCCTAAGTGGTCCATATTTAGAAAGTCTAACCCGACACGGCTTTCAGCGNCGTCTCTGAGTTGATCTTCACACTTGTATTATAGTGTTTGAATCGAATAACCTCTCATTGTCCGCTCGTTTAGTGACTAGTAGTCGCTACCAATTTTTAAATACACACAGGGGAAACTTCCCCACCAGTAGTTAGAAAGTAATAGTAGTATTGAGTATCAGCGACCCTTCGGGGTACATTAGGGCTGTTCCCCTCAGCTTGTGGTACGGCCTGGTCTGCCATTCCACAAAATAGGCAAAAAAGAATTCGTAACAAGTTCCCCTTTACTTATTAATTAAGGGCAACCCTACACCTATCGTTCCACAACGCGAGCCGAACCCGACATCCGCAGAAGCAGCCGCGGCCGTGCAGAAACGCTTCCTGCACGCATCCAGCGTGTCCTGGGGATCCTTAGGGATACCCCCAACCACGTCACCATCTCCAAACGGGTCCGAAACTACTGCGTTCGTGGACAATGTTAATAGGGTTGTTGACCAAATTTCAAAAAGTAGATAATATAATCTTACACGTACTAATTAGTGTGTATGCACAATTAGAGATTGAGAAATGCGTCGGAACAGTTTTAAAATAATTATTTAAAACTGATTTTTTTTATAATATTTCAAAACGGCGGTGACGTCATAAGGGGCACTTTGTAGTGAAATTATGTGCAGATGATTGCATAAAGGAAAAAAATTGGAGGAAGAAGATGCTCTGATTGCTCTGTCAACACTGTCAGTAGTGTCAGTCTGTCAGTGACATTGTCGCATAAAATATTTTCAAGTTACGAGTTATTTTCCTTAATCATCGAATTCCTTTATTAAGTAAAATTATTATTTAGTAATAATCATCTTCCTTCCCTTAGAATTAAAGCAGTATGTGTGAAACGGAATTTGTGAAAGCTATTTAGCAAATTATACCGAAAATTGATATTTTTATGATCATGAATTGAATTTTTAAAAAGAGACGACCGTTTTAATATTGGCGAAATCAGAGGTATAAAAGCAGTAAGGTAAGGATTAACATATTTAATGAATGATTTTATTGTGTTTATTTATAATATAAATAATAATATAAATACCTATTTATTTACGGAAAATTATAGTGCAGTTCGGGAGTCTTATGGAGATAATGCAATTGGCTATGTGGAATATGGAATGTGGAACAAAACACCACTTAAATTTTGTTGAATCCATTACAATCAGGAAATTAATAATAACTATCACAAATACTCTTAATTTATAGACTGCTGTCACTTTTGTTTAAAGAACAGGAAACAGGGCAACACGGTTTGATGGACAATTTTGATATATTTTCTTCTTCTTCAAAATTATGCAATAGGATCGCTACTAGCTTCTTGTTCAATTGCCCCTTATGACGTCAGACTAGTTTTTAAGTAACACAAAAATTCATAAATGATTTCTACCACTAATTTGTCATATATTTAAAATTTTACTATACAGGCAGGTTCTTTTATATAAAATCTTTGTATCAACAACAATTTGTATGTGGTTTGTTTTTATAGTCAATAACCCTATTGTGAATCTTTATTGTCTGTTAATTCTGTTCAATATATACTTTTAACATATCTTCCACGGTTTGATTGAAAAAACCCTGTCATCAAGCTCAAGAACTTTGGATCTCAAGCTCACAGGTTCGCTTCACGAGGCTTCCGTCGAGGCTGCCATTCCTCGACGTAGATATTTATAGTGCCTAGCAACCACTACTCGCTTCACGAGACATACCACCCGAGGTAGCCTAGCCTGAAGTGAAGACCCTGTTCGATAGCCCCCTGCATCGAAACAGCGATACTCCAGGCTAGTACAGAGACTTGCGTACCGCCCGAGGTAGCCCAACCTGAGGCGAAGATCCTGTTCAATAGCTCCCTGCATCGAAACAGCGATACATTCAGGCTCCTCCAGAGACCTGCATACCGTCCGAGGCTGAGAACCTCCGACGAAGACTTTGATTCCGATCGTGCCGGCTCCATCGAGAGACCCGCACCTCGGTACAGAGTACATACATAGGCCCCTACGAGACCTATTCATTCAGACTCAATCGAGATCTGCAAATCCGAGGCAACTTTCCTCGTCAAACCCCTACGAGGCATTATCTTTGCTACCTATGGGTGCAAAGCTATAGTACGCACGTTATTGTGGCGGCGTACTTCTAAATTTAGCAGAAGTTGTCCTTGCGTCTTAGGGCTCCCTCGAGAGACCCATATTTAAAGTAGAGTCAGTGTTTTCTACAAGACTTCTACAAGACTTTCGGAGCAAAAGAGCTTGCTCCGACATTGTCGTACGGGGTAAGATGTATCCCTGCGACGCGACTTCGATATCCAGTGCTACGAGGATTGGTGCCCTCGAAGGTACAACGAATAATAAATCAGATCGTGAAAATATGATCAAGACTGAGCTGGACGAGACCTCGTTCCCCACAAACGCTATCTCGGTGCTTCGTGGAGAGTCTAAGGAGCCGAAGGTGGTAGCTCGTAGTAGTACGCGGCACGGCGACGCCATAGTGCCGTACAGGCTGAGGTCCGCGACTACATGAGTCACCGATACCACATCGAGTATCCCTCAGCACTTGCCCACGGAGACGAGTAGTATGCCGGAGTTACCACGAAGTGGGTCACCCACGAATACTCGGGACGAGGTTATACCTACGTACCAACTGGTAGGGTCCGGGGTATCCCATGAGCCCAACCACGGTTCGCGGTCCGGCCCCGGTAGCGGCCTACCTCCGATAACGGGTGTTCCCGAACGTGGAGCCGTTGGCGACGGCGATACAGTTTATTCAGCTTTTCTACGAAATGGTACTCAGCGAGAGCAATGCGCATCTCGTTCGGGTGCCATGGTAAGCGAAAACCCCTTAGCCGACTATGTCGTTCATGACGTTGCCGGCCTTTTTTCTCAAAGCAATTCTGGTACATCGCCCGTCCACCCTCATGATTTCCCCCGAACATACGATCACCGCCTAAGTGGTCCTTATTTAGAAAGTCTAACTCGACACGGCGCTCGACATGGGTCTCGACATTCTTCGTCGACATCTCCCCCACGAGCTCGTGTCCTAGACACCACGTATGTAGGCCATATCCATAACAGACAACAGTCATTTGACAATATCCTGCGACCTGGAGTCCCTAGTGACGACCCACTTGAACTTCGTGCGTCACTATCGCGGACCCCAGTCAAGGGAACCGACACCCCAGATCATAGATCGCGACATGGCGCCCAACGTGGAGCTCGATTAGAACTCCCGATGTCTCCACCGAGGACCCATGCCGATCAAACACTACCAAAAGATCAAAGAACACGACATGGCGCTCGACGTGGGGCTCGAAGTCCAGCTTCGACGTCTTCGCGGCGAACCCATGTTGCCAATTCTCTCAATAATTCTCAAATATTAGGCACTTCCGATCATATTCCACGACATTATGATAAACTGTTACTGTTTCTGTAAACTCGGTTAGAAACAAATGGCACATTAGCTAATAAAATATATAGGATATACAGGATATACAGGACGATTCCCCGCAAGTATCAAAAAATACAATTATTTTAGGCAATGTTTCCAAAAATATTTTCTATTTATTTTGGTCATGTGATTGATAAGGACACTTTTTGATAAAAAGTTTATATGATAATATATGTTGCAGATTATTTTTTAACACAAAATTCGTTCCCTAAAATGTCCATTTCTGCTCAAAAATTCTTTGTCATTAACACGAATGATTAAAACCTGAGAACACCCTGTTGTTAGATGTTAAAATAACAATTTTGTACATGCGAACACAAACAACATTTTCATTAAAAATTACTAAAAAAGTTTCTCCTCTGTTGATACACTGTATGTTTGAAAACTGGCGCAAGAACAGGATAAGTCCAATTTATTGAGATACGTATTTAAAAACAGTCTTTTCGTCTGATGGAAATGACTATGGATTTAAAAGAAACTAAAATATAAGATAAAATCACTTATCCTCTGCTATAAAGAAATTGGTATATAGTGCAACTTATTCTGCGCAATATGTGTGGGTTTTTCTGAGCTTAGTTTTTGAACTGGCCTTTTTTGTATTTATTAATTTTTGTAACTAATAAGTATGTACCTATATTTTGTATACGGAAAAAAATCTTGATCATTACTTAGCTCTTTCTTCCTTCTGGTGTAAATTTAAAAATAAAATGTAAATAATTCTCAAGTTTAGAATAAATGCATTAATTAAAAAATATTGCAAGTATTTCAACTATGAATTAAATTGATTGGATTCAACTAAACTTTAATTGGTGATATCTTGGAGAGAAAAGGATATACCGAAACCAACCAAAATGGAAATTAAATGGAGAGAGATGTTAATGTACATGGTACTGGGCGGAGAAAATATTTATAGATGTGATGGAGCATTTCTAGGACAATTTTCGAATTCAGTGCAAAAAATTACATTGAGAGCACTATCAGATTCATAGGAGGCGAGTGGTTTTATATCATCTGATCTGTCTTACCTAGAGAAGTAATACTCCAACTGCTGCGAAAGCATTTGTTTAAGTTGTGGCAAGGGATAGGCAGACTGAGAGGCATTATCTTGGGGAGCTGAGGGGGGGATCGTACTGGGTCCCTCAGCCCCCTCTGCTACCCCGTTGACTGCCACGTAATCTGGATGAGTACCCATAGCAGTACCTGGTTCAGGGGTGGCACTGTACACCGCCCCTGAAGGCAATTTGCCGACATCCCCATTCATGTACGCGTAGCCTGAAAAGAATAGAAAATCGGTTAATAACAATTACAATACCCTCGCTCAGAGCTGTAATGTGTACAAAGTAAAAGGAAAAATAATGGTTGATTCCTTGGGCAATGATTGAGATTCTTTTATTTCTTTAAATAATTCAAATTATTTAACTTCAAAACCAATTAAATTTATTTTTGATGAATTAAGATATTTCAAAGCAAACCTCTCCATATGAAGAGAAGATGTTTCCTTCATATCTATCGTGCATTTGAAAATTGGAGATAAACTATATACTGAAAAAGAGGCTACACTGTTTGTTTTTTATTTAAATTGCATTATTAGTTAGCTTATATAAATTATTTTCATGGTATTCTTTTTTCTGGGCATTTCGATAGTTTATGAATTAAAAAAAATGTGTAAGCTTATAGTATGGAGAAATACCGTAACACTTTACAACAAATACCACAAATAAATTCTTTCAAACGACATAATAATTATTGTATTCGAATTCGAAATCTTCTTAATGATTTTGAAAGATTATGTTTGATTCAATAATGTAAAATTTCTATCACCGATTTTAATTGTGAGTTATTCGATTCATCTCAATTTTGATTGAGATATGTCTAATCGACATGACAACTAATAATTGATACCTAATATTTTGAATGATTTAACTTACCAAATTTTATACAAATTAGTATAAATAGTAATGAACACTATGGGCAAAGAATAACATTTTTGTACTGTTGTATCCATTTTTTTCTGCATTTCAAACTGTATAAATTATTATTTAACAAGTAATGTGTATAAGGCTTTTCAAGATACTATTTAAATAAATAATAAATACTATTTGAGATAGAATTCCAAGACCACTGCGTCACTTTCATGCAATTAACTGCATTCGACACACGAGGTATAAAGGCATTGGCGGCGCACTATCGGTCAAACGGCATATTTTTATGTCAAAATCAAATATCTCGAAGAAGAATTAACGAATCGTTTTACATTTTTTTACAGTGATAAATACAGTGAAATTAAGACACATTTTGGTGGAATCAATGCTCAATTGAAACTAGGGAAAATTAGTAAAAATATTTTAATCCCTATTTTAGGGGTGAGGGTGTGGAAAAATGAAAATTAAAGAAAATATGCATAAAAGGTTTTTGTTGTCGCTGAAATCACCCTGAAATGTACAGATGATAAGAAAATGGTCTATCATGTTATTTAAGATCAGAGAATTGAAAGACTGGTAATATTGCAGATGAATTTTATTATTCAATCCCCCACCCCTTAGTTCTTCCCCTAAATCAGAGGATGATAAAACAGCTCCTAAAAAGGAGTTTTTTGTTTTAGTGATGCTTTTATTCGTGTTCAGCGACAACAAAAACATTTTATGCATATTTTCTTTAATTTTCATTTTTCCACACCCTCACCCCTCACTTCCAACCCTAAAATAGGGATGAAAATATTTTAATTAATTTTTTCTTAACTTGTTAACACTGACTCCACCAAAATTTGTCTCAATTTCACTGTATTTATCGAAGATATAAGATTTTTGAATGAAGAAAATCGATTTCACTTTTTTCACCTATTCACCCCCAAAATAGGGGATGATGACATTCGCAATAATTTTCCCTAAATCTGCATGAAATAAGCTTTAATTAAAAAAAAAATAATTAAACGATTCGTTAATTCTTCGTTCGCCGTAGTAGCTTGCAGTGCATACTGCATTTTGCAGTTACAAAGGCGTGTTTCTTCGTATGTCTTCTTGGAGCTCTATCTCAACAAATATTGAACGGACTGTAACATGTTTGCAACCAATGCAGATGTAAATTTATATACATCTAAATATCTAAGTCGCTAATGAAGCTAGAACATTATTTCTGGTTTATTTAAATAAGTTTTAGTATTAAAAAAATTATTTCAACAGACTAATCCTCGACATAGTTAAGTAGGTATGCTTACTTACAATGAATTGTTTCTTTAAAAAATTGATTTTTATTTCTAAGGAAAAAGTATGTACTTATGAACCGCAATTTATAGTCTAGCCTTAAATTAATAGTATATTAAGCAACAAGGTTTGAAAACGACTCTTTGCACACGAGCGAGACATATTGGTGGACCGAGCCGAAGGCGAGGTCCACAAGTCGAGCGAGTGTGCAAAGAGGTTTTCAAACGACTTTTTTACGATACTTTTTATACGACTGCAAACAGAGACCACAAAAATCAAATTTTAATTTAAATCGTTTTTATTACTAAAACTGCCAATGCATTAACAAAATAAAATAAATACAACTTTTAATTTAACTCGTTTTTATTAAGAAAAGTGCTAACGCATTAACAAAAGAAACTAATATTTAATATTTATGGTAACATTTGAACATTCCTTCAAGGTTACGCTGGTAAAAGCAGTATTATTGTGCACCTTGTTTTCGGTTATAGAGAATATTTTTGGTGTCGTGTTTTTAGTGCAGTTTTTCAGCGTGCGGTCGTTGGTTTCTTGTTGTATTCCAGTAGACGATCGTTGTTCTGGTTCTGTGGCAGCAGAAGACACTGAAGACTCAATCTTTTTCGAAACTTCCATTTTATTTCTCAAACAGTCATCAACGTAGCCTTCGGCAACTGTACTGGATTTCCACCCTCCATGGCGTTTGAGGGCAAGCAAATTTGAGCCAGAATTGACTAAAATTGTGGCCGATGAACGCCGAAAGCAATGTCCCGTGTAACTTTCTGGATTCTCTAGCATCAAAAACTTGACGATTTCCCTAGCCATGTTTCCAATTTTGTTGATGCCAACGTTTTGGCTTAAACATTTTCCGTTTTGATAGTTTAAAAAAAAACTGCCTGTCTTCAGATTAGGAGGACGAAGAGCACAGTACCTTTTTAATATAATGTAAAGGTTTCCTGTAATTGTAAAACACCTTGGTACCTTTGTTTTTGTATTCTTCAGTATAATCAGCATAGCACTGCCGAAATCTTTGGTGTTTTCTATTTTGAGATAACATAATTCCTCCCTTCGACATGCCCCAGATAGTCCAACTGCCACCACCGCCTTGATAAGTAAATATTTGTCGTCTGGTGCTTTCGTCAAAAACCGGCAAAAATCATCTTTATTAGGATTTGGGACTTCTTTGTGGGACGTAGTTTTCGGATATCGTCCACAACGTCGAAGATTCATATTTCTTAGATAGTTCTTCAAAATACACCATTACTGCGTTTTCTGAGAAAGTTTGGACATTTTTGGCTAGTCGCCAGTCCATAAATCGGCTTAACTCAGCTTCATACCTGCTTCTGGATTTTGTGGGCAGCAGTTCCGAACATATTTCGCTTGCTTTCTGTAAAATCTCTTCAGAATCACACATTTTCACACCCAAACTTCGGAAATTCAACATTTTTTTAAGTATCTAATCAACAAAATAAAGGAGCCGTGACGGTTGCTATGAAACTCAGCCAACTTGAAACATTGCATAATTTGGGTGACATCAAACAAAAATCACAATCTGGAGACACGTGTGCAAAGATGACATAACCGTGTGCAAAATGTTTAGCACACGGCGTGTGCAAAATACCGTTTTCAGAGCGTGTTTTCTGTGCGTTTTGCAAGGCAGTCGTATAAAAAATATTTTACAAGGCTAGTAACAGCATAACTCGTCGTCCTTTTATATTCTACAATGAACCTAATCATAAAATTTCTCCCTTAATTTATTTTACTACACATTTCTCAACAAAGTTTGGTTGATAGAAAGTTTTTCAAATTTTCTTATAGAAAATCTTCTAGATCTGGCTTTTCTACAAATTATTTTAATTTTGTTTGTATTGCCAATTTTTTTAAATAGGGATTCATAGTACATCTCGTGATCCTATTCCTTTCTTGATTCTATTGCTTCCTTTCTATTCTATTCCTTTCTTGCTTACATCAATTTTATTTAATTAAACAAAAGGTTATCTGATGCAGAAATTGTATACGCATTTTTAGCAATCTACATAACATTTAAACTTTTTGAACTATTAGGTCGAATGACACATCTTCTAAAAAAAACAAAAATTATCTATTATCTTTTAATTTTAAAAATTCACAAGAATTTGAAAAATTGTTTACAAATTCCATAAGATTTACTCATATTGGGTCACAAAAAATAACAAATGTTAATGTAAAATGACGAGTAATTTTTGGAACACAATTAGAGTGATATAAAAAAGAAAGATTTAACAGCCAAGATTTAAAACTTTTACATTTCTAAATGTGGTTCAAGAAAATACATATTACTGCTTTTATTAGTGAAATAAAACTTACGACAATCTGTAAATGTTAAAAAAATTGCCTTAAGCCACGTCCACACTAGGACACATATATTCGGCACAGTGTACAAGGCGCGTACACTTCTCGGAACAAGTGGCAGCTTGTTTCACATTTTACTGATAATGTAAGAGTATCAGAATTCAAAATCGCTGATACGTGTATTTAAATACAAGTCTCTCGAAATGTTTCACGGCATAGGCCCTAGAGTCTAGATCTAGAAGATTACAGACAATGGGGCATAAAATTCGTAGGCACGTAAAAGTACATTACTAACTGAAATTTATTTTTATAGACTAACTACATTATATACGTAATGAAAGTACTTTCCATAAACTTCAATTAAAACTTGCCCTTCGCACTTTTGACGTCCAAAGATAAATCGTGACTAACTATATTTTAAAAGAACTTGATATGATATGAATCATATCTGGGTTAAACCTTAAATAAACACTACAAATTATGTTAAGTTTATAATGAAAATTTGCGATAACACAACTAGGGGATTTACCGAATGCAATTGTTCAAAACCCTGATAATAAAGGATTTGAGTACTTATTACACTTAAAAGCCAGTATTTATTTAAATGCTTTTAAGAAAAATGTTAAAGGTTAAAAATAATACAGTGCATAAATACAGGGTGGTGCCTGTATGCAGGAAACTTCGAGGACAGATAGATCTCTAAAATAATATGTGTTTGCCTTATAAACATTGGTCTGGAACAGC